TTCTTACAGGAAAATTGACCTGGCTGCACACGAGTAACTCTGGAATCCCCACATCAGCCACCCTGAGGCACTGCAAGTCTTGCAGTGCTGTGCCTTTAGTTGTAATCCAGTGTTTGTTTCCTTTCCTTTAGAAAGACCATCTTTTGTGAAGAGACCCAGTAATTTGGCCGTAACTGTGGAAGACAGTGCAGAGTTTAAATGTGAGGCTCGGGGTGACCCTGTACCTACAGTAAGATGGCGAAAAGATGATGGGGAATTACCAAAAGCAAGGTGCAGTATGTTAAGTTACCTTTTGGATAAGATCAAGTGCGGGTATCAATTTGATATTTAACAGTGGATAACTCCTGTGCTTGTATGGATGGGATTGACGATCCAATAGGACTTCTTCTATTTCTGAATCCCATGGCCCTCTACTTAAAGATATAATTCACTTCTGTTGAAACCTTAGACACAGCTTGAACTAAAATCTTTAAATCTACTACAAAAACACCAAAGGTTTCAAGTTCAAACTACAATGTATGGCATGAATGAATTTTGTACTCGAAGTACCTACTGTAAAATGTCTAATAGATAATATAATTAGGCTACAGCACCAAGAAGTGCGTAATGGAATTGCAAGTGATGCAAGATGCAGCCTGCTAATGTATAGTGCTGCGCTTAGGAGACCTGCGTTTTTTGTTATCAAGTCTCCAATTCACATTTCTTCTGTCATTGGCCTAACAGAGTGGAAAGTAAAATAGTCTTGTAAAAAGGAAACACATTTTATGAAGATTTTTTTCCTCATTTTGCTTAAATTACTAATCATTGGTTTTTAAAGTATTGATGGTTTTTTTTTCCCCAAAGAGAACACACTGTAACATTTGGGTCCCTTCATCTTCTACATCCAAATCCTGTTTCCTATTAAACCACTGCATATAGGGTAAAATAACTGCTTTCTAGGAAAAGAAACATACTGGCTACATTATGCAAAGATGAGTAAAAGGTGATGAAATTGGAGGGAATATTATAAGGCTATGTTATTGCCTTATAAAATGATTGAATGAGTTATGTTTTAGCTTGACTTTAAGATGGTCTTTGGTTATGTTGATAAGAACAATGCTGCTTTTTTAATCTTTTAAACCCTTATAGCTCCTGATTTTTACATCTTCCTACATGCAAATGAAGAACAATATATGAATGATTTTTTTCTTTCAGAAATATCATTAAACATATTTACTAAATGCATTGTAATTAAAAGTCTTAAGGCCAAAGTCTAATGTCACTTACACCAGATTTACCAGTCAACTACGATTAGTTTATTAGAGATGGTCTTGATTTTCACATTGTAAGTGAGATCAGATTAAGCTCTCAAGTGTGTTGTTTTGAAATATTTTTTCCATAGTTTGAAGGCAATATGCATGTTTCATGTATTGCTTAAATATGTTCATATCTCAGAGAAACATATGAATTTGAAGGCAAAAACTTCTTATGCTTATGCTTTATACACTAAGGAAACTGGCAATATTATTTGTATTTATACAGTCACGCTTATTTGCTGTTATATGTATTTAAGATATGAAATCCGTGATGATCACACCTTGAAAATCCGGAAAGTTATGGCAGGAGACATGGGGTCTTATACTTGTGTTGCCGAAAATATGGTTGGAAAAGCTGAAGCATCAGCAACTCTAACAGTTCAAGGTAAGCTGTTTCTTTATATAATACTTAACCCCAGAAAAAGGAAAGAAAATGAATTTTCTATGCAGTAACTTTAATAGAACCATAATTAATATTGAATGTGATAGGCTATGTTATAAAAAATACAGAAAGATCATTTTGGTTTGATTTTTTGAGTACTGTTAAACTACTGAAGCATTTAAGAGCATAACATAAGAATGGCCATACGGGGTGAGACCTAGGGTCCATCCAGCCCAGCATTCTCTCTGGCGACAGTGGCCAATGCCAGGTGACCCGAGGGAGCAAACCTAACAGGCAATGATCAAGTGATCTCTCTCCTGCACCCTCTGACAAACAGAGGCTAGGGACACTATTCCTTACCCATCCTGGCTAATAGCCATTAATGGACTTAACCTCCATGAATAAGTAATTTCAAATATGTTTTTTCAGAAGTGTGAAAAGAATGAATGTTCAATGCTGGGAAGGGACTGCATTTTGAACTGCAATGTCTTTAGAAGCATGTTATTTCTAATCTTTGTATTTAAAAGCTTAGGAGACAGGAGAACTTTTTTCTCCTTTCTGTGACTATTAGCACCTCAAATTATTTTAACTGGATACAGATATTGTGACTTCAAGTATCCGTTGGATATTCCCAAATGGTAAGATATTTCACCATCATCTTATGTGGCATCTCTATTAGTGGAAGTTTGCAACCATGGTAGTCCATTCTGTATGATCCTCTGCTGATCTCTTGTGGATGAATGGTCCTTTTGATCCACCCAGTATACCACACCATTCATCCAAGATCATTTCCAGTTTTCCCTTCCAGTGCCTGTAAACATGTTGTGCCACTGACCCTTTTAAAATATGCCCTGCAAATTGAATGATTCTTTTAATAAGATCTCTAATAGCATTTGCTAAATCCCAATAATCACCAATCTCATCAGATGTTTATTCTTCCAGATGTCTCTTTTGCTCTTTCTAGTCTGCTGTGACTTCAGTATCTGATCTTCTGTAAAGATGCTTCCTAAGTAGCAATAATTTCTTACTTGTATGTCTGTCTCATTCACTGGACTCTTACGTGTTTTCCCAGGATCCTTGTCTAACACCATAGTTTTTTGTCTTATCCACATTCCACTTTAGACCATATTCTTTGCCATATTCATATATAATCTCTACTAACATCATGTGATCTTCTGAATCAACCATCAGCACTATCATCTGAATAGAAGAAATTATTCACCAATTTTTCCACTCATCTTAATATCTTCTTCTGTTTCCTGTATTAATTTAATTAAGCACTCGCTATAAATGTTGAGTAAAGATGATCATCTTGTCTCAGTTTTCTCTCTTGATCTCTATTAGATTTTCATTTTCATCTCCCGTTATAATTGTTTTATTACTCAGTGTTTCTATCCATCAATCCACACGGATCTTATATATTGAGCAATTTGTAGAGGTAGATTCTGTCAAGTGCTTTTTGGAAGTCAGTGAAACACAAATATTCTGTTTTCCCCATTTCAATTGCTCTTTCCAATATGAGCTTCAAGTTCATAATGGCATTGATCGTGCCCTTTCCACATTTGAACCTGTATTGTTGTTTGCTTATTTCCTTATCAATCTTTCCTTTAATTTGGTATTGAGTGTAACTTTAGCGCCCTCATGGCCAAGATGGAGTCTGCTCTGCAGGCAGCTCTGGCCAAGAAAAGGTGCGCGCAGGAATGGAGCAGGAGAAATCCCTTCCACCCCAGGGGCACGTGTTCCAAACCCCCCAGAGTGAACACACACACACACACACCACACAAAGTACAATGGATATAAGAAAGGGAGATATTTATTTACAGAGGGATGAGAGGAGAAAAACAACAAGGGGAAATATAGAGGGAGCAGTAAAACAGGGTTGCATTCAAAACAACGCCCCACAAGCCCAGTGGTAGCACTCTCTGAAAGGGCAGACACTGAGCAATGGGTCTGCACACAGAGTTCAGGAGTCGTGAGCAAAGTTCCAGTCCAGTGGTGAGTCTTGGGTGCTCCTGGTCGTCTTCAGCGCCAGTGAACTTTCCCCCAACAAACCCCTCTGGCGCCCTCTTCTGCTGCTCTCTGCAAAGCCATACAGAGCGACCACCTCCCCACTTAACTATCTAGCAACCTCCCTCCTTGTTCCCAATGCAGAGTCACAAGCCCCAGTACTCACAGCCCCATGCAGTTCTAGGCAGCCGTGGTATTGGGTCCAGTTCCGGCCTGTCCTTCTCGGGCGATTCCTTCCTGGCACAGTGCTCCTCCTGGCTCCTGTCCTGGGGTGTCCCCAATCAGCCACCCTGTCCTTCCCAGGCTTCAGGCAGGTTCTCTGCTGCTTCACTTTGCCAGGGCCTCTCCGGGCTGCCCCTCTCTCCCTCTCAGCTTCAGAGTCACCCCCTGGCGATTCCCTCCTTTTTGTCCTCACTCTCCCCCTTCCCCCTAGGAAAAAGATTTAAAGGGGCCATGCTCTCTAAACCCCAAAGGGGTTACATGAGCAACTCACAAATGCATCTTAGAGGCATGCAATATTAGGTCAATTTTCCGTAGTTTTTACAATCCATAGTGTTGTTAGTTTTTAAGGATTTGGATACACAGGTTGTAAAATTTTCCGGCAATTCTCAAACTTATTCTTCATTACAGCTGACAGCTTTCAAGCCTTCATCCGCCTATGCTTTTTAACAGTTCAGCTAGTATTCTGTCACAACCTAGTGTTTTTCCTTTCAGAAGTCTTTTTATTGCTACTGTGATTTTTTCATCCATTATTGGTGGGCTTAATTCATCGATTTAAGTTTTTGAAGGTTATCATCACCATATAGTTCTTTAATATATTCTCACCATCTCTCTTTCTTGTCTTTAGAGTCTATCAGATAGTGTCCATTTTTTCCCTTAAGGGTCATATTGATCTCCCTTTCTTCTGTAGCTAAAGGCTATTATCTTTTTATACATCTCACTTTGTTTGTTCTCTTTATACTGTTGTTCAAGTTCTTGCATTTCTCATTCAACCATTCAGACTTTGCTAATCTGCATTTATTCTGTATTATTTGATTTTGTCTTTGGTATTCCTCTCTTTCTGCTGCTGTTCTTTGTGTTTTGACTTTCCTCCTTTTGTCTATCTGACCAATGATTTCATCTGTTACCCATGGATTTTTCTTAGCTAGAAACTTCTTCCCTACATATTTATCTGCAGCTTCTTTGATAGCATGTTTCAGATGTTCCCAAGTCGCTTGGTAGTCACTTTTTCTTGGTAGTGACTTTGTATCACCTGATTTGTCAGAGGTTCAAGGTTCCATCCTAGATAGTTTTTGGCTTTCTGTAACTTTTTCAGTTTGATATTCAGATTCATCGATACCAATCTATGATCTGATCCAGAATCTAGACTTGGCATAACCTTAACCTTCTTAAGACTGTTTTGTATACCTACTCTTGATAGTGATAAAATCAATTTGTTTTTTATACATCCCTGCTGGTGTTTCCCATGTATGGTGAGATTAGTTACAGTGAAGTATGTTTTGCAACTAATGAATCACAGATGTGTGTGTACAGTATATGCATATATACATTTAATACACTAAACCAGATCGATACAATTTCCGTCTCTTTTTCATGTTAGTAATCTATTAAAGCATACTGCAGCACTACTGTTCCTTTGAATGATAAAAATCAAGGCGAACTGAAGGAATTACTATGTGTAAAAAAATCTTCATTGCCTTTGTATACACACAATCCAGATGTTCACTATTGAGATAATCCCTCTCTTCCTTTCTCAGCTAGCAGACAGCCAATGATGTCATATTGATGCTTTTTCCCTAAGCTAGTGGGTATGATGATCCTTCTGTCCTTTTCTCTGTTCAGCAGGAGGGAGTTCTGGTGAAATATGGGCTTAAAATATTGTATTGAGTAACAAACTCTTATTTTGACACATTTACCATAGCAATGAAGTTGTTGCTCATAAAGTGCTTAGCTTGTTCCAGTAGCTGACTCTAGAAATCTTTGGTGCTATCATCTTTTCTCAACACTGAGCCATCTGCAGCTCTTAAGCAGAATAAGGTGGTCTGTAAAGGGATACTTCTGTTGTGAAGTTCTCATACCAATCCCCCAGTCTTTTTGGAGGTGTTTTATCCTTCTGTACGTCTTGATACTTTGACAAGAAAATTAGATAAGGAACTTATCATCCTTGATGTCCACAAAATTATTACCTCCTGTGTTCATTTTCTTTAATTAAGGACTCGCCAATTAAAAACAGAAACAAACAAAAAAGTGAAAGAAAAACAGTTCGAATCATTTTCAAGACAATTTGTTAGATTTGATCCTAAGATCAACTGTTAGTTTCGAAATCAAGAAGCTGCTATTAAAGCAGCTAATTTTGTGGCTACAATTTCTGCTGCTACACTCTCAGAAGTAATCTACGGCCCCTGTTTTACAAACACGTATGCAAGTGAATAAATGTACACATGTTGAGTAGTCCTATTTTTTTTCAGTGGTCCTACTAATATGTAGAATTACTTAGTTGCAGAAATGTTTACAAGATCAAAGGGGATGGGTATTCTGTATTTCCAGAATACCATAATGCTTGTTTGGAATAGACCCATAACCTAGGCCCTGATATGGCAAAGTACTTAAGCATATGCATAGGTCCAATCTCTATTCAGTAAAGCACTTAAACACATGCTTCAGTCATATTTACTTCATGGGATTTAAGCGAATGCTTAAAGTGAATCAAAATTGCTTCTATTAATCAGTACAGCAAAAGTAAGAAAATTGGAATAAGTATAACAGAACAACCCTCTGTACAGTAACTCCTCACTTAACATTGTAGTTATGGTCCTGAAAAATGCAACTTTAAGCGAAACGATGTTAAGCGAATCCAATTTCCCCATAAGAATTAATGTAAATGAGGGGGTTAGGTTCCAGGGAAATTTTTTTTCACCAGACAAAAGAGTATATTTTATATCTATCTATCTATCTATATATACATATATACACATACACACACACATACACACAGT